CCAAGAATTTTCTAGCGCTTCCTCTTGTTTTTAGGTTCCCAGATTTTTCCCGAAAATTGGTAACCTTTTGCTAACCTATGGACCTTTCAAATGCTTTTCCAATATTTTCCTAGGAATGCTCTAGGCTTTGTCTAGATGTTGTTACGTTTGCGATTGGATGCTAGGAATGCTCTAGGCTTTGGCTAACCAATTTTATTCCATTGTTGTACTCACGCCTACGCGCCGGTGGAACGCACCTGCCCGGGAGAGGTGCTCCTTCCGTCGTAGGCCGCAGTACATACCGCGCCCTACCGCTTCGACGCATCAGCAACCTACAGCGCGTCCTCTATCGTCACGGGACGCAGACCACTACGCGTCCTGTGGAACCCACCTTTGCAGTTTGCCCTGCAAGGGCTCCTCGGTGATAGATAGTGCCTGGACAGGGGGCATAGACGGGGATGCTTTGGTAGGGGACACACACTACAACGCGCACCCCCGGTTTGGAACCCTTGGCAGGGGGGTGTATATGGGCGACATCCTGGGTTCCCGGGTCCCCTACCAGGCCGACGCCGACCCCAGGGAAGTGGCTGGTGTGATCACTGCGCTCCCAATTGTGGCACTTGGATGTATCCTATATACCATGGGCAGCGCCCTGCGCGGCCACGGGGCGAACACAACGCGTCCTCTATCGTGGAACCCACCGAACCCTCCTTTGCGGGATCCAGTTTTGAACCCTGGCCAGGGGGTGGGGCAACATCTTCGCTCCCCGGGTTCCCAAAGTAGGCAGAACAGAGCACGGCAAATGCATTGGCGTGTTTTTGTGAGAGCGAGGGAACCCGAGACACAAGAATGGCCGTTATGATGTTAAAGGTTGTTTGGGGTTCCCGGCTTGGCCCTGAAAAATGCTAATCCACTCCTGCATTTTGCTCAAGGGGTGCTCCAGGAAACCCTACCCTCCCCACATCCAGGGCAACGTCCTTCCTCCTACCGTGGAACCACCCGCTTCCACACCCTTCCGTCCCCCCCCCTCCCCCCCGGCCTACCGCACTGCAGACATTCCGCCACGCGCGCGTGCCCGAGCTTCCGGTTGCGCCGCTCCATCCTAGAACCAACACGCCACATGGCGCGGACACGAGCGCCTGACGGGCATGCGAAAATCTTACCAGAGCCTTTCACGTTACCACGGGCACTGGCCGGACCTCGTCCAGCGCAAAATCTAAACAAAGCCTAGAGCATTCCTAGGAAAATTCCAGGGCATTGGCCGGGAACACTCGAATCAAATAGGTTAACAATAGGTTAATCAATTTTTGGGCAAATCTGGGAACCTAAATGCAAGAGGAAGTGCTAGATAATTCTACAACAATGGAAGAAAATAGGGCAACTCCTACAACTCCCTTTTACAGTCCGGAGGGGTAGGGGAGGTAGGGTCTAAGTCTAAGTCTAAGGCTAAGGCTAAGTCTAAGGCTAAGGCTAAGGCTACGGCTAAGGCTTAAGGCTAAGGCTAAGGCTAACCTCGACAGTCACGCCTCACCCCACCTCTCTCGCTAGAGCAAGGCTAGCGCTAAGGTTCTATCCCTTGGGGGTCGGCGGCTGCAGGCGGTAGCCTGGTAAATAATAAAATAAAAGGACTGTAACCAGGGCCACATCCGAGTCGAGCTCGGGGTTGACTATCGCTACCTCCACCACCGCCTCCGAAGGCGCAGCTCACGGAAAGGCACTTTTGACGAAGGAAATTTATATGTTCTCACGTGCGTAAAATATTTCATAGAAATTCATACTTAGTAAGGTACAAGATTTGTATCTCTTTAGGCATCTCCTGCCTGCCACCTCGATGCGAGATCGCCTGCCTCGCCAGCAGCTTCTGGCATAGGCAGCCCCTGACAAATCATTCCCTCGTGTGATAAAGCAAGGCAATCGAACCGCTTGCTTTGAAATCAACTGTCCGCAGTTCCACTGCTACTAGAGGAGTTCCAGGGATGCTTTCACAGCTTTGGGTCTTGGCCTCAGCTATTGATTGCTACTAGAAACAAGAATGCTGCTTCCTGTACTTGTTCTTTCTTTAACTTGTTTTCCTTCCTCTTTTGTCTTTTGACTTAAACCTGTTTTCTGTGTTCTTTCCTTTTTTTGCCTCTTTTTTGGGGGGACCTTAGGTCTTGGCAACTACCCTTGCATCTCTTGACCAATGTCTTCCCTTTGCAATGGATGTTTCGCACCTGCCGATCTGAAACTTCAGCGAGTCGTTGAAGAACCTAAACGATGGCAGCTAGACATATCCTTCAAAGCCCGCTCCCCCTGCTCCCTACTTTATTAAGTAAGGGACTGGTAAGCTACTAGCTACTAGTACGCTACTACCATGGACGCAGGATAGCTCACGCTTCTTCAAGGAAGCTCCCCCCGCCTGAGGGCGGGGGGCTTCCTTGAAGAAGCGCTGCACTATTCATGTGGTTTCTACATTATTAGGGACACTTAAGTTCCAAAAAATGGAACAATGTTCCAGCCTCTGCGACATTTTCTGATGTGTAGTGTAGCTCAGATGCAACCATGGAAGCAAACCTGCACATATGTTCATTCCCACTAGACATACACATGTAGTTGATACGCGAAGTTTCACTGAACCTGCCTGCGCTGGCGCAGGCTGCCAGTAATTAATTAAACGCCAAGGGCACTCTGTTGTTCTGTTTTGATTTCTATAGCGGTTGTGGGGTCAGGATGTGGGGCACAGGGTTGCGCAACTGGTGAAGTTTAACCACAATCCGGCTGTGTATACTGGATCATGTCTCAATATTTCCTTTGCTGGATGTAAGCCAAATCTGCAGCACAGTTATCAGGTGGCTCCACTACCACTACCCCTACCACACCCACACCACCACCACCACCAC